GTAAATATTATATATCTGGTACATCAGATCTCTTGTAATCCGTTTTTCAGAAACATTCCATCGACAGTATTCACATTCGGCTTCAGCAGTCTGGTCAGTCTGATAAGATTGTTCACACGGTATATAGACAGCCCGTGGCCTTGGACAGACTCAGTGTTCACGATATCACCCCATCTGACGCAACAGGTAATGAGGTTTGATGAGTAACTGAGGTTATATTGTCTATTTTTCCATATTTAGTTAATGCATAAAACATGTACCAATATATTTGACATGTAACCGCGATAATAACGCGATTGTGTCCAATGATATAAATAACGCGATGTTGTGCTTCATTATTTCAAGCTTATGGATTATTTTTATTATGTCAAGGTGTAAAATGCATCACACGACGTGACGTTACTTTATTTTCAGATGTCACATTCGCATAATTAGATTGTCTTACGTTGAATTTTTTTTCTTCATCAAAGAAGTTGACTCTGTTGGATATAAATCATTAACATTCATCACTGGTTGGATTTTTTTATAAATTCACACATCCGTCTTTTGCGCGAGTTCAATCGCTTTAGATATCATGGTCCATCAGAGCTAGTAGAAACAGAAGTCTATTTACGTATTATGTTGATTTGTTTTAACAAGAAAACAAGGCAATATTTAACCATTTACATTGTTAGCAGTCGGCGTATTTTACTCTAGGCCTCTTCTTCTTCAATTTCAGCAAATGGTCTTAAGCATGCCTTCGTCCTAGTCCAGATCAGTCGGTACCAACAGATCATTGGTGTATTTACGTTACAGGCTGTTACAGATTCTCACAAGGTAATTCTTAGTGTGTATCCCACCTGTCTCACAAACTCTCACAATGTTATTCTTAATGTTTATTCCACTTGTCTCACAAAATTTCACAATGCTTATTGTAACCGCTAAAATACTGCTGATACTGATAACATGTTGTTGTTGAAACTACTGGTTGTTGAGGTACTTATACAAAACATTAATATGTTACAGGCTACTTGGGTAGACAAGCTGTCACAAGCAAGAGAGAAATTCAATTCCGTTCCGGATATTTTGGCAAATCAGTTATCGCCTGGCGAGGAAGGCGGAGCTCAAGATGGACTTATATCTTCGGACATTGTCAGGGCAACCAAACAAAACCGTCGAGCGCCGTCGCTCAGAAACCCTCATGGAAAGTCCTTGTCTATGGATGCCGTTTACCTGTGATCTTTATGGATGGATTTTATGTTTATCATGATAATTGGGAAATCGTTGAGGTACCATACGGACATATGTTATCCTGAATCTGTAATACCAGATGTGTGATCTATGAATTCCTCAAGTGACAAAACCCATAAAGAAGTAGAATTGGCGGGAGAAGATGGGGGATATGGCGAAGTTGTGATATTGACATTTTGTTACACATCATTCAGATAATGTGATAACTAGACGTGTTGTGTGG